AAGTGAGAGGATATGATATGGCTTTAACTTAAGGGAACCTGACTCCAGGGGATTGATAGAATATAGATCTTTTTACTACTGGGTCACATATTGACCCAAATGGTCATGACCAAAACTCATAATCATCTGATGGCTGTTCAGAGGACCACGTGAAAGGTTTGTTGCTCTCAGTTCTTTTTCTTGTGAATGGGTACTCACATCTGAACATGTACACAAAACTGGTGTCAGTTGGCACTAGTAGACACCACTCTTACTAACAGTCTCCATAAATTCAGAGGACTGTATAGGCTGTGGACTGAACTACTCTATCATTCTTAGTGGTATTACCTACAGAAGGGGGTCAAGGCTGATTGGTAGGACTGTTTGGGGGAAGCTTGCCCAGCTTCTGTCCATACTTTACTTGCTCTGCAGATAACAATTCACTTGCCGGGATGACCAGTCTGGTACCTTCTCCAAAAAATAAATTATTTTTTTTTAATTGAAAAATAGCCTGGGAAAAATCGTAATGAAGCGTTGTGGTTTCCAATGAAAACAGAATGCATCTCTTTGTTGTACTGTAGAATTACTTTACACAGGACAAATGTAACCATCATAGCTTTTTCTACTGATGTGTGACGGTGGGTCTCTCTCTTACAATATTGATTCTAAACTGATGGTTTTATAAAAAGTTTACAGATGCCTACATCAGGATGGGCACATTTTAAAATGAAACATAATAAATATATAAGGAATGTGCAGGTAAAGAATTGGGAGGGGAATAGCAAGGTTCTGACACAAATGAGTGGGCACTGAAATTAATTGCAATTATTGTATGTGTTAATTTATTTTTAAAAAGCAGTAAATACTCTGGTAGTTAGCTATCTTGTTCATCTTCTTTTTAAGAGAGAGCCCCCAGAATATAATGAAATATCCCAGGAGATAAACTACCTCCCTCCCTGATTAATCTAGATATCCAAAGACTAGGGGCCTGATCCAAACCCAGTTAAAGTCCATGAGTGTCTTTCCACTTACTTCAGTTGGCCTTTCAATTAGACCTTAGGAGTGCTGTGCAAAGTGATGCACTTAACAACGTATGGTTGTAGAGAGTGAAATAATTAAGCATATACTTTATAAATATCATCATATGCACCTTAATTTACCTGTTGGTGGGTTCTCAGTAGTTGCCCAGGGGAAGACACAAATGGAAATGCTCTGAGAAAGACACAAACTGCAGCAAACAGGCTCTCTCCCATACCAGAGACAGAGCTAACTGGGCTGAAAGGAATTTACTAAACTTCTAAGAAAAGATTAGGTGTAGGTAAGGGGAACTATATATACAGACCTCTGTTGTTTTTACCCTTTGCTCTGTGTGCTATGTACCTTTTGGATGGATGAATAATGATTTGTTTAGAAGTTTGTTTACTCAGTTTGCTGGTCACAGGTCCCCAGAGGAAAAGGGCTTATATAGGCCCCAAAACACAGTTGGGCCTGTTGTTAATAGTTGTAAAACAGGGAATTGCCACCCAAAGATCCAGTCCAACAGAGACTGGATCATAGGAAGAAACACTTGTCACCTGAGGGGTGCACTTAAGACACTGGAAAGAGTCTAAAGCTTGTCCTAAAACTGTGTCAATGGGTTTACTCCTGCGGTCCTTCCTCAGCTAACTGAAATGGGAACTTTTTTCTGCAAAAGGACTGCAAGACTCATCCATAAAAGTCCAGTAGAATTTCAGAAAATCCTAGAAGCTAATGAAAAGGTAATTTATAATAGGTATTAAAAATAATTAAGCCTTTTTTAAACTTTACTGATGGAATTTAAAGGTTGAGGCAATTGATTCACTGTGAAATCCAGGAGGAAAAAAAAGTTGTGCCAAATGCCAGTCATGTGATATACCTTAACTTTCACATGCCAATCTTGAGGACTTTTGCAGTCATCTTGTTCAGCCTCTCGGCACTGGGTGCCGGCAACAATCTGATCTTTTGCATTATGAAAATGGGGGGTGAGGGAGGGATGTTGTGCTCCCCTTTAGCTTCCCTGGTGCAGGCCGGATACTGATGATCCAACCAGTGGACCACATACGGTGATGAATCTTTGTCACATGCCACTCGAGGCACATTGTGCATACACTACGAAGATGAAAAGATTCTTATTTCTGAATTATTTAAATAACATCTCCATTTATTGTTGAAATATAGTCACCAGCTCAGTGCTGTGAGAAAAATATAATACTTTGTCCCTCATACCAAAGAAATTAATGGGAGTTTTTGTTACACTGTATTTTTTTATGTGTTTTTTCTTTTTAAGAGGAGGAAGAACACTGATAAAAGGCCAATAGTTTTTATTAATGAACATACTAGAGACTAAAAACACAGCAGATACCTACATTCAAAAAAATACTGGATTTCATGGGAAAACTTTAGCGCTGAGCTCTTTTGAAAATCTGGCTCTAAATGTAAATAACGTTAAATTGTAACTATACCAGTGAAAGCAAGGAAATTCAAAGGTAAGCAAGCAGAAAGGCAGTAAACCCAGATAACAGCTGTGCTGGAGTCTGATCCTGGAAATACATAAGTAACAAATACTCATGTGTTTGCAGGACTGGGCTCTCAGAGTCAGCTTCTCAACTGGTGTAAACTGTCACAAGCTTACTGAAGTCAACGTGCCTATGATGATCTACACTAGCTGCAAATAAACTCACATTCTTCCAGCTCCTGATGTTTTTAGTACTGAAGTGCATAATTATGACAGCCACTCTATGTAAGAGCTATGCCACCTCAGCTAGTGTGTCCTATAAGTATGGTGGCAACCGGAGGAAGAACATGCACCCATTTGCAATGTGTTCAATGTTAAACTATTAACATCTGTGAAGCAATAATATATGAATAAAGTTATATCTCAAATGAACCAAGTTACATCATTGGCTAGATAGTAAAGATTCCTGCAAGAGCAGCATAGGGATTGTTGAAGCACAACCCTGATTCCCTATCCCGTAGGCCAGTTCTTTGCAATTCCATATGGCATCACAAATAGTTCTCAACCTACCACTGATACTGCTTTTTTCCAATTATTTACAGAGCACTCTTCAATATTTTTTTTCCTTCTCTTCCCCAGGTACTGGCCACATTGTATGTTATTAGTATCTAGGGCTCACTCCTGCAAATACTTATACATGTGACAAGGTTACCCTGGTGAGTAATGTTATATAAATGCATTTTTGTGGAAGGGGTATTAAGTTTTGTTTAAAAGTTAAGTATAAAACATGTAACGCTTAGCTGTAAATAAAAACTCATTTAGGTAAGTGCAACAACTTTACAGTTGACCTGCACACTATCAAGAATTATTGTGAGTAAAGTCAATAGTGCTTAGGTGTGTCAGCACATATTTTTCTATCTGTTAGGTATCTACATAAGTTTATATAAAAATCACCCAAGGTATCTACTCTTTGGACATATCTGAAATAATTAGGGACAATTTAAAGGCGAGCTTTTAAACCGCCAGAAACTTTCACATATATCAAGCTTAATTATAGATCTTTTCATTTTTACCCATGGTATTTGTATCTAAACAGGAGTCAACTCCCTCTCAGTCCATCTCCATCCCCATTTGATCCTGCAGTGAAGTCTTTGGCCCAGTTACAGTGAACTTGGAGCTGCACACATATATCGAAGTCAATGGAAACCATGAACATACTTCTAAGGAATGAATTTGACTATTAGCACAGAATATATCACATACCAATTAATTCTATGGCAACAGACTGATTTCATAATGACAAGATGACTTAACTATAGAGAAAAGCAGGATAGGCTGAACTGTGGAGGATGAAAACTTCTGCTGGCACACAAATATCCCCCATCAGCAAAGAGGAACAGAAATTTTTTTTTTTTGTATACGTCAAACTCCCTCAGATGAGTAATTCTTACTTAGTCTGTGCATTTGAGTCCGTTCTCCCACTTGTTTAAATCAGGAATAACTGACATCCATGGAGTTACATCAGTTCAACACTGGTGTGAGATCAGAATCAAGCCCAATACGGATTGCTCATATTTATAAGACCTGCAGGATTGAACCCGAAAGCCACAATATTAATTTTGTATGTCTTTGTTTATTTCACAACCTTAATGTTTTTAAATATGTTTTGGCTAAAATCAAATGTAATGTATGGCATCAATTTAAATATCTGTTGGGACACTATATAATACACTTGTAAGGGAACAGAATCATTTCTCTAACAGACCTTCTCCATCTCTAATGTCTATGAGTCTATGTATAGAATCTGGTCCTCTCAGGATGTAGGGCTGTAAAGTTACTCACATACTTAAGAACTGGCAGAAGCAGGGCATTTGTGTACAGTATATATTGGAGGACTGGGTCCTTGTAAGTATATTTATGGAATATATATTGCATTTAATTTTTTAAAACAATCAAAAATGGGCAAAATAAATCTATTTCTTAAAATTTAGGGTTTTAGTTTGCTTTTCTCCACTTAGGAGGACCAATCCTACACCCTTTCCTCACTTGAGTAATCCTTACTCATAAAAGAGTCCCACAGACTTAAAAGGGATTATTCTTATGGGTTATGATTATTGGTGGGCAAAAGGGGTGCAGGATCCATTTTACTCCAGTGTAACCGAGATTAGAATCTGTCCCCCTCTGTCTAGAGGAAGAATAGCTACAAGGTTCCCCTTGTTACTTAGGAGGTTTCCACTATAATAAATAAATATTGAAATTCAGAGCCGCCTAGTTTACAGATGAGGGAATTGTCAATTACAATGTCAGCTCATGGGTAAGGAGGTTTTTTATGCGGGAGTTAGCATAGGGCCTAGGACAAGGAGGTTCCGATCCAAACCCTACCAGGGCAGGCATTACCCTCCCGGGGGAGTTTCAGGGCTGGCTGTGTGGAAGGGGGAGTATCAGGGTGCTCAATAATTGATAGTCATTAACTGTCAGGATGAGCGGCAGGACACACGGGACTGGACACACCGGACTGGACAGTGGGAAAATAAGTGACTCGTCCTACCCGGAGGGTTCCCTCACTGAGTCTGCTGTGTACCTGCTGTGCTCCTCCACGCTGCGGTTCTCCGCCGCCCGCCACTCGGGCAGGGTGCTGGCGCACAGCACCACCATGGACACGATGACGAAGAGGATGGAGACCGTGGCCAGGATCTGGGCGGCCACGGACGAGGTGGGCTCCTCGAAAGTCCGCCTCATCCTCTCCAGCCACTTCCTGCCCTCGGCGGCGGGCGGGGGCTCGGCCGGGGGCCGCGTGTCCTCGCCGCCGTCGCCGGGCTCGTCGGCCGAGTAGAAGGTGTAGGTGTCGGACATGCGGTCGTCCAGGCGGCGCTGGCAGCAGTAGTCCAGGTGCGAGCACTCGAGCCCCCAGTAGATCATCTCGTTGTAGAAGGAGAGCTCGCACATGTGCGGCGCGAAGCGCAGGTGGCCGTGCCGCACGTAGAGCAGGATGAAGCCGAAGGCCTCCGAGTGGCGGTCGAAGAAGAACTCGTTGCGCTCCCGGTCGTAGTCGTCGCACACCTCCAGCACGTCCTGCTCCGAGAGGCAGCCGTGCAGCCGGCTCACCCGCCGCAGCGGGAAGTCCTTCAGCACCTCGCGGGAGAAGGAGTAACGGGTGCCCCCCACGTTCAACACCACCGAGCGGCCCCGGCCAAAGTTCATGGCTTGCGCGGGGCTGGGGGTTGGGAGAGCAGGAGGCGGCTGCTGGCCTCGGCTCGGGGCCCCCGGCTGATGCCCCCCGCGGGCGAGGAGAGGAGGGTCCCCGCGCCCCTCCTGCGGTTCGGCTCCCCGGGGCTGGGCGCGGCCAGAGGCGCGTGCGCCCCCTCGGAGCCAGCGGCTGCCCGCGCCCCGGGGCGGCGGGAGACCCAGGCAAGCCGCGGCGCTCGGAGCTGCCGCTTCAGTGGGGCGCGGAGGAAGAGCCCGGGAGCCCGCTGGGCGCGGCTGCGGGCGTCGGGGCTCCCTGTGCCCGGGTGGTGGTGGTGCTGCTGCTGCTGCGGGCGGCCCGCGGAGGCGGCGCGGAGGGCATGGTGCAGCCGCGGGGCCAGGGAGGAAGGGAAAGCCCCGCCAAGTTGGAGAGCCCCGCTCCGCTGCCTCCTCCGCTCTCCCCGCTGCCGCCGCCCGCTGTCTGCTGAGAGGCGAGCTGGAGACAGAGAGGCTCGGCGGAGCCAGGGAAGTGGCGGCGGGGAGGGGACACGCCTCCTCCTGCCTCCCTGGCACAGCGAGGGAGTGGAGCTGCCTCTCGCCTCTGCCTCCGTCCCCCGCCGCCAGGGGTTGGCGGCAGCTCGGTGGGGGGGCTTCACCCAGAGGCTGCTTTCCTTCTCCTTCCCTTTCCCGCCCTCTGGGCCAGCCCCGCCCCGCTCGGCCCCCCTGACTGAGGCCTCCCAGGGAATCACTGGTCATTTACTCGCCAGCCCCGCTGGGATTCCCCCCGGCTCCCGCCTGCGAAAGGGCTGCGCTTCGGTGGGCTAAAAGCTCCATTTCACGGGCGCATTAATATTTCACACGAGCAGAACTTGCACTCGGCCCCAATAGCTTTCATCCCATTTTCGCCTTCTTCCTGAGGCAGCGGAGCAGGGTGGAAAACAGAAGTGGGTGGCTTTAGGGGGAGCCCGTGACTTTTGCAAAGCTGATGACTTGGGCTCCGTCGGACTCTGCACCGCAGCCTGCGGAGAGCGGGAGGTTGTAAACTCAGACCAAGAACACGTTTGTTTGCTGGCAGCTCTCTGCGTACAAAGACGTTGGAGAAGTTGCCTGCAAAGAGCCGGCGGTATCCAACAAAGTGACTGAAAGTCCCTGGCCCAGAAACGTTTGATCACCACCTTACCCACTGCTTGTTTAACCCAGCTGGGAACCAGCGCTCTTTGTTTTCATCGTAGCTTTACATTCATATTAGGGATGATGAGCCTGCTGTTAAAAGCTCGCTGGGATGGGAATTGGGTGGGCAGAGCGCGCTCACACCTACACAGCTTTGAGGATATGGGGTAGGGGGAAACACCAATCTTTTGGATTCATTTTTTTCTGAATTCTGACGTGTTTGTTCTTTTTAAGGTGCCCGTTGCACTTCAGGGTTAGGAGCTTACATTCCTCCCCCTCCTTATCTTCTGTTTGTCCTCTTACAGACCCACCACACGCATAACGTAGGAAACTGTGCAAGAGCGTCAGTTCTTTCTGGCTGTTCTATTTATAGCCACTTCAGTAGAGTATTTATGCGCTGATTTTATTTATCTTCATTTTTCTTCCTTGTTGTTTCTTATACCAGTACAGAATGTTTGTTTTTACTAAGACATGCCTTACTTAGTTGCCCAGCGTTCAGCATGAGTTTGTCCTTGTGAACAGAATTTTAACACATTGTTACAGCACGATGATGATGAGCCTGTCTGAGTTTCTTGGTTTGGGATTTAGTGGTTGGGGGAGGTCGTTATTTTTCCTCTCCCTTGATTTTTTTCTAAGTGAGGCACATAGTCATCAGCATCTGAAGCACCTTGGAATAAGCTCATCCAAAGTATAACTCTATCCGTCTCCTTCAGTTTACACCAGGTATTACCGAATTTGGCTCCTTCTGCCCAAGAGGAAGGGCAAGTGAGTATCTCTCTTCAGAACTGATGCCAAACCTGGGCAGAAGCCAGTACTTCTAAAGGGAACAGCAAGGACAAAATACACCATTGTTTTACTATTGCATCTTTTTACTGCTGCTGCTAACCCATAAAAATAAATACATTTAAATTGTTTTGTTACTATCAGTTTACCTTGACAGCTGATGTTTGTAGGACACCTATAAAGGTTAAAAAAAGAAGTGAATAGTCCTACAGTTTAGTAACAAAATATTTCAAAGACAGTGAGAACATGAAATAAATGCTCTTGATTTTAATCAGTTTCTGTCATCTTTCTGCAATATGATAAGCGACAGATTAGATCAAATGTGCACATTACTACTGGGAAGAATTATGTAATATCTTGTATTCAGTTGTGACACTGATTAAGTTTCCCAGACCTGAAGAAGAGCTTTGTGTAAGCTCAAAAGCTTGTCTCTCACCAACAGAAGTTGTACCAATAAAAGATATTACCTCACCCACCTTGTTTCTGTAAGGTAAGTCACTTTTATGCTTGATTGCACTATGTCCACTAGAGGTCATAGTAAAAGCCATTTTTCTCCGTTAATTTAGGGAGCGAAAAAAAAAGTAGTCAAGCATACAAATCAATGTATTGTCCCACAATAAATTGATTTTCTAGATTTCTTCAGGGATAACAAACTCTAGTTTATATTTTCATGTATCTGGAAAGATTTTTACTATCAAGTGCTGACTTTAGTTAAAGGTTTCTTGCTTGCAGTTTATTTGATAAGTAATAATCACTGTACTAACTTTTTATCTATTATCAGCAGGAAGAGGAAAAAAAAAAAAAAACAAACACTGATCCAGAAGTCACCTACTCCAGGACAGGCCCAACAAAGAAAGTAACAGAACGGCACTAGCTGTCACCTTCAGCCCCCAACTAAAACCTCTCCAGCACATCAAGGATTTACAACCTATCCTGAAGGACAATCCCTTACTCACAGATCCTGGGAGACAGGCCAGTCCCCGCTTACAGACACCCCCCAACCTGAAGCAAATACTCACGAGCAACCAAACAAAAACACTAACCCAGGAACCTGTCCTTGCAACAAAGCCCGTTGCCAACTGTGTCCACATATCTATTCAAGGGACACCATCACAGGGCCTAATCACATGAGCCACACTATCAGAGGCTCGTTCACCTGCACATCTACCAATGTGATATATGCCATCATGTGCCAGCAACGCCCCTCTGCCATGTACATTGGCCAAACCACAGTCTCTACGCAAAAGAATAAATGGACACAAATCAGACGTCAAGAATTATAACATTCAAAAACCAGTCGGAGAACACTTCAATCTCTTTGGTCACTCGATTTCAGACCTAAAAGTCACAATTCTCCAACAACAAAAAACCTTCAAAAACAGACTCAGAGAAACTGCTGAATTGGAATTAATTTGCAAACAGGACACCATTAAATTAAGCTTGAATAAAGACTGGGAGTGGATGGGTTATTACACAAAGTAAAAACTATTTCCCCATGCTAATTTTTTCCCTACTGTTACTCACACCTTGTCAACGATTTGAAATGGGCCATCCTGATTATGACTAAAAAAGGTTTTTTTTTCCCTGCTGCTGATAATAGCCCACCTTAATTGATTAGTCTCCTTACAGTTCGTACGGCAACAACCATTTTTTCATTATCTGTGTATATATCTTCCTACTGTATTTTCCACTGCATGCGTCTGATGAAGTGGGTTTTAGCCCACAAAAGCTTATGCTCAAATAAATTGGTTAGTCTCTAAGGTGCCACAAGTACTCCTTTTCTTTGTACTAACCTTCTTTACCTTTGCTTTAAGGTACATGCCTCTGTATTTCACACTTTCAGGAGCAATTGCTCAAGGCCTGGTTAAAAAATAGTTTCAAAAGCTGCAAATGACAGTAGTTAGCACATTCATGTTGATAATGACTTACCCAGTCATTTCTAACTTTGTAATTTTAAATGCTGCTTCAATACATTGTCTTACCCCTTTAGCACCTTATCTGCTAATTCATAGAGCAGTATATAAATAATATGCCTTTAAGACATGAGTACAGAGGAATGGCTAGGAATGTGAAGTCTAGAGAATATATCATAGAAAACGTGGCTCTATAACAAGATGTATTGCGGGAGCAGAAGGATGATTAGAGATTGGGAATACAAGAATCAAACTTCACTTTCCTCAGTGGATCACTTGATGACATGAGATGATATTTTAAAATAAGTTAGTTTTTTTTAATATGACACCTAATACAGAATTCTCCATAAGGACAATATTGCTGCATATTAGAAAGCAAACTAATCTGAAAACTGCAATTTCTTTAATCTGCAAAAGGGCCCAAAATGTATTTTTCACTTTCCATAAATTATTTTAAATAGTTTAGTTCTTTTCAACAGAATGTACATTTGATTCTGCTAGCCAGTATCATCAACAAATGTACAGTTGTAAATTAATTAGCTGTCTTAACTGGAGCAGCAGGTAATGCAATAATTCAAGTCTGTAACCAAATAGATAGAAGCTGTAACTGTCCAGTAAGTGATCTGATTTTTGGAATTTTGGAGCCAGATAAATCTGTAGTAACTTCCATCAATTTCATTGTAGTAAATCCAGAGTAGTTTGACTGATTTCAGTGGAGTTACTCTGGATTTACAACAGATCAGAATCTGGTGCTGGGAGTCCAGACTTTTCCTCACTGAAGCTTCCTCACTGCCATCACTGGCAAAACTTCCAGAGATTTCAGTGAGAGCATCCCCTTCGGTTATATCTCCTGAGTGACAACTTCGTGAGATTTGAAAAGGAGATTAGAACTTGGAAGATATAAGAAATTCGTTAGTTTCAGGAAAGTCAGCAGAGAGTCTGAGAACTGTGAGGCTGTAAGTGAGATATCCAGGAAAATAAGAGGAGCAAGAGATTTCATTTAAAAAAAAAACGAAGTCCAACACAGAATTGTGCATTGTGTAGTTCCAGCTGTGCTAGTTTGAAGGACGGTACTAATTCAAGTAAGCAAGCAAGCCAGACAATGTAAGTGGGTCAGCATAAAAATTGGTAAATGGTACTGATCCTTTTCATCATAGGTACAGTATAGGTTTAAAATGAATCTTCAGTGCTACTGACTAAGGATATTGGTCTAAAAAACATAATGAAAAAAACCTGTTCAATCAGGCAGTTGAATTTCTCACTTATTCAGCAAACCATATTTAGCTCTGGAAATATTCAATATGATGTTAAATCATGGAATTACCTTAATTTCCTGAGGGTATGCACTTGTAGCATTCACTGCCCAGGAGCTTTGAATAGGCATTTTGTAAGGTTTTATAACAGCACCTCCTTTCACAGTTCTTGTTGAACTAATACATCATGAAGGTATTTAATATATTTGAAATCTTTTCTACAAACTTCCAAAATCATGTTGGCTTTGTGCTGGGGCCACTGTTCTGTTTTGACTGTAATGCTATGTTTGTTCAGTAAAAGGATTCCCAATTCATTTATGTGATCATATGGATCTAGTTACAGTGGTTGCCACTAAAAAGTTCCTTACACATAATTTTGTGTTGGATCCTGCACCTGTTGAAGTCAATGGGCATATCACTATTGATATAAAGGAGTGCAGGATTAGCCTAACATGAGGTGACTTCTGCCAATACTATTTATTTGTATTACTGCAGGACTGGGAGCTGTAGTCATGGATTGGATCCGATTGTGCTACCACTATATAAACCCGAATACAAAGACAGTCCCTGCCCCAGAGAGCTTGCAATGAGTAAGATGACACATTGGAAAAGAACCCAGTTCCTTACTTTTTGGTATTAAGGTTATTGCATATATTGCTTGGCCATGTTTATCTTAATTATGCCGAGAAGCAGTAAATGAAGAATAGATTGAATATTTCTAGAGATTCAGTTTGCACTGGGCAGCGACTAATAGACTAAAATATCTTTCTTCCTCTGTCACCTGGTTGTCCCCAAAACACTGCTGGTGGATTTTGCAATGTA